AATGTGATAGATATTTTGATTTAAAGCAGTGAGGTTTTAGCCTTCCTGAAAGGCATGCTAGCTGATAGCCATTTTGAATTAGCAAAGAATTTGCATATTTATAAGCCACGTCTATGGGACATTTGCAATATCCCATGTCACAAACGTAAGGAGGAGATCATGACAACCGATGATGTCTTTTAGGTTGGCCTCTATCTGCATGATCACTCTTCTTGAAATGTTAATATAGCTTATATTTTACTGCTACATAAAAGTGTGCCTGGATCAGAGAAGTCTGCAATGCAATAACTACAACAGTGTGTACCCCTAAATTAAACATATTTCCTTGTTGTTACACTGCAACTTCATCTGGGGACCTCTGCACTGGATAAATACATTACTGCACAAAAGAATGCAGAACAGAGAATATGGCTTCATTGGGATTTAATTCCAATGCTTTCTAAGAAATTGCTACAGCATTTCTTCTAGAGAAAAAGACGGTCTCCTATCACACACAGAAAGAAAAGGCTGAGAGATTCAGGTAAGCTTATTGCAACTGTCTCCACATTATTGATCCTGTGGTTGTTCTGCAAGGCAATTGCAGACACTAAGTCATCATTGCACAGTAGTCACAAAAACAAAAGGGGAGGTTAATCTGAATACAAATTCTGACCTGCTTTTTTGTGTCTCTGAACATCAAGAGAAATTTAAGCATCACCAACCCAAACACTGAGTCCTATACAGTGGAATAACTATACAAATGTGCAGTTCACTGCATCATCTTTAATTTTGCTGCCTATAGAAAAGCTGTTGCATTATAAAGCTGATGTATTTGAAATGCTGCTATGTGCAATGCCAGTAATGCTAAAAATATAATACAGGACTATACTTCTACTACAATAGCAAGTAGATTATATTTCAAAGAGGAAGATGTTTTAATGGAAGTATGTATGGATTATGACAAACAAAAGTATAGAAGATATTCAAGCATAAAAGTTATTCAAATTTTGGCTGTTAAGACTACTTCTTCTGCAAAGTGTTAGTGTTCTGTGCACATTAACATTAGGCAAATAAAGGGGATGCCTAGTGTCTTTGCCTAAGCCACTGATGGATATTGATGTCTGCATGAAAACAGATCTAAGTATCAGTAGTACTTAAAAATTTCTCAAACAATCACTCATTTTAAGTGATGTTTCTTTTTTACACAAAATTTGGACAGTTAGTACTATTAAAGACATTGCATAGGACTAAATCAGTTAAGTGTCAAGCAAATGCAAGAATGAATCATCAGCCATGCCTATTCCTGAAACAGAAGCATGTACAAACACATGACCTTTCTACAATATTGAGTATTCTGTTAAAAGTTATTATATAGGAATCAGAAAGCTCTGCTTGGTGTAAATTGAGAAGATTTACATTAAGATTATGTATTTAAATAAATAGTTAGAAGGTACCTGAAAAAGTTACCTCATTCATCCTTCCACCTTGAGTTAAGAATCCAGATTTGTGTAACTTGGTCCTAAAGACAACCAGTGGTGGAAATGCTACAGCTTCCCCAGGCAATCTCTTCTAGTGTTTCTCTGTTGTCAGTGATAACAAGGACAGAATTAAGTCAGAAGATATTTCTGGGCACCCACACAGAACATGAAATACTCTTAATGCAAAAAGGACTTTATATGGTAATATGTTTTAACAAATGTAAATGTTCCAATTTCTAGCAACTTTCTTCAGCATGAAATGCAGCCTTTCAAGAACTCTTTGCCATAGGAACTAATTAGCACTCTGAAATTTGAAATGCTTAAATGCATGATTTTTTGTATTATTCACATTTTTGCTCCTCCAGTAGTCTTCATGAAAGAAATTTTACTGTCATCACTAGATGCCATGAAATAGGATTTACTGAACATATTTCTGGGTTCACAGAGCTAAACCATTCCTTTATTCATATAAAATAAACCATACTATTTGATATAAACGCTATTCATTATTTAAATATCATTAGACTGTATGAGAAAGAGGAAATAATTTCAAGGCGTAATTTAGATAGCTTGTTAGAGTTATGAAGTGCTGCTGATGACACATTAAAGAAAGGTAATTAAAGGAATTGGTGAAGTACTAGATATGAATGTTTAAATCCTCTACACAGTAAACTCATTTTGTGTTATAATAAACTTTGTCATTGCAAATGAAATGTACCAGCTGGCTCAATCATGTTATATATATGCTATATACCTGTATAGTATATGCATCTGCCTGTTACTTGAGTACATCACAGAGCTAGAGCACAAGAGTATATTAGGAGGGAAACCAGTCAGAACAGCTATGAGAGGGGTCTTTCTCACTGTAGTCACAGCTGTAAGGCTATTTCCGAAACAGAGATCAGGACTGATTTGGGATAGCACTGAACACGTTGGGAACTTGCCCTGGATCAACTTTTAAGCAGCTCCTGTGACACTGGGACCCTGCTACACAGATAACCTCAGAGCTTAGAATAGCATGCGCAGAAGGTGAAGATGCTGAATCACTGCAGGATCAGATTGATAGAGAAGATAGGTGGTAGAGCTGCCAACAGCAGAAGCCTTCAAGAACAGGTTAGATGATATGGGTCAGGTACATGAGTGGTATTGCAAATCCTGCCTTGTGACAGGGGATGCTCTGGGTTACTGTCAGGCTCCCATAGTCCTCTTCTGACGCAGCAGTGTGTTTTCGTGGTAGCAGAATGACAGGCATGGGAGCAGCCTTAATTTCAGGAAAATGGCCACAGATTATTAATGTGTGCTTTTGCAGAAGTCTTTTTCTCCGTATTTTACTGAAGTGTAAACTGACAGGTTTTATTTTAATAACCGAATAAAAGTTTTGGAGTCTTGATGGTTTAGAGCTTGTAGTTACAATATTAGACAGGTTCCTCAAGGGTGCTGGGAGCATCATAGAGCAGTGCTGGTACTGCTGATGGTATTTAAACACACACAGACATAAAAAACCTCTGAAAGTGTCCACTTGCCCGGATGAAGCTACTGTGGCTACCTATACATAGAATCAGTTTGCAGTCAACTTTTTTGGCCTCTCCAGGCGGTGGAGGTCAGCTTCAGCCAGAGAGAAACGTGCACTGCTGGGCAAGGCACCTCATAACACCCATCATCATCAGTCCTCAAGTCTCTTGGATGCAAGCAGGGATTCCTTGTGTGAGGTGAGGATTAGTCCATATGAAGCAGCACGTGAGCTGGGGTTTAAGCTTCAAGGGGAAGGAAATGCAGCAGAAGGTGGGGAAGAAGAAGATGAAGGCACACTACTTTCTGAATGTGCACAGGGCCTGGCACGAAACCAAGATCTGCTGTGGCTAACTGATATCGTAAGCTGGCATTGGTAGTTGTGGGTGGAACCGAGCAAAACCACCACTGAAAGTGCGTGAATTTTGGATCCTCTGTATATATTTTCAGTATCTGTTGCTGATGAGCCCATCTAACTATGAAAATAAGCTAATATACAAAAATAATACAATGTATAAAAAAACCCTATTACAGATGTTCAACAGGGCTGACAAGACTGGTGGAATCCTAAGTTTTAAGCTGAGCAAGTGATGTGTTTTTTACAATGGTATTAAATAGGGTTTTGCATTGAATCCTTTTTTTCTAAGAATTTTTTTCTGAGAAGAGTCTGTCTGACATGAATTATAGCAAGTGAAATTTGAAGTTCATGCTCACAGATAGAATGGGGTTTTTGCCTTTTGCTGCTGATGCTATTTAGAGGTCGCTTTCTGAGACTAGGTTATCAGAGCCACAGCAGAGAACAGCACAGAAAACACAGCTTGATCTGGCTTGTGTGGAAGGAAATTGCAAAGTTTCCATTCCATTTCACTGAGGCTGAATTAAACCTTTCCTACTAAACAAAATTGATTTTTAGAACATAACAACTATTAGCAGCCCTGATATTCTCAAGGATTTCTCTAACCTTTCTTCACTTTTAATGCCTGTGAGGGAATACTGTCTCGGGAAAGAAAAACCCATGCTTATTTTCAAATTTGCTTGCAACTTGCTATGAAATGTCTGTAACCAAACAGTTCTGGAGACAGCATATCAGACCAAATAAACCCAGGGAAGGAAGGTTCTGTCATCCCAGGAGCTCCTGCTGTTAACCTAAGTTAAGACAAGAGGAGTCACACTAGATTTGTCACAAAACCTTCCTGCACCCCCTTGGGAAAAGAGTGATGTTGGTGTTGAAGCCTGCTCTATAAATGCAAACTTAAGGGCTGTGGGCAGATGCCTGTCACACAGAGTAAGGATAGTCCAGGACAGTCCAGTCACTTCGAAGAGGGTGAAATAATACTGAGAAAAGTGGATACAGCTCATGATTTCTTTTTCACGTCGAGTTATGCGTTTCAAAGAGCTTTTTTGTTTTGTTTTGGGGTTCGGGTTTTTTTTGGTGCATTTCAGAGAAATCGTCCTAGCCGAAGTAGAGAAGTAACGGCCATGTTGAGGCCGCTTAAATGACACAGGACGCCGGGGAGCGGGGACTGGGCGTGTATTTGGCCAGGCTGCGGCCCGGCGGGGGTGTGCAGGGGCCCTACCCCCTCCCTTCCTCCCGCTCCCCCGCATTCTCCCGCTGGTGTCGGAGCCGGGGGAACTGCCAAGGCGGTGCTCCGAAGCGGAGAACAACCTCCGACGCCCTTTTCAAGCTCCAACCGTCCATCGGGG